CCATTATAAACAAGACACTGTTAAACTGGGGGATTCATCAAACTTTTCTAGAAGACTAATTTGTATAGTTTTCAAAAATGCATACCCTTTGTCTAGCAATTCCCACTCTAGACATGAAAAAAGAGAAAACTTAAAAATCACATGCAAAAATAGCAGAATTAAACTATAGTATTTCATGTTAGATTAGACAACCATTTATCTTTGTTTTCTTTTTGTTAATCCTTACCCAAGGATTCCTCCTCCATCCCATTGATTTTTAGAGGGAGCAAAAGTGAGGGAGGAAGGGCAGAGAGAAACATGGATGCGAGAGACATCAATTGGTTGCCTCCCACATTCACTGGAAATCAAACCTGCAACGCAAGCTCTCCTCTTGTCCAGGAATTGAACCTGAGATCCTTTGGTGTGAGGGCCAATACTTTAACCACTAAAGCATACCAATCAGGGCTTAGGAAAACATTTCAAACATAGCATTTTGGAAATGTTCACAATGTAATTTTTTTTTTTTTGTGAAAAGTTAGAGTACATCCAATTTTGTTACTCCTGTAGAAAGACTAGGAAAATAGATTTAAAAGATTTCACATTTAACACCATCTTAATATTCTATTTTCCAAATTCTTTAAAATAATCATGTGCTACTTTTGTTTTTAAAGAAAAAATCCTTACAGCCCAGCCAGAGTGTTCAGGAGGTCACAGTTTGATTCCTCCTGTCAGGACACTTGCCTGGGTTGAGGGCTCAATTCCCAGTAGGAGATGTGCAGGAAGCAGCCAATCAATGATTTTCATCATTGATGTTTCTATCCCTCTCTTACTCTTCCTTCTCTCTTTGAAATCAATAAAAGACAAGTGAACAAATAACGAAGAAGTGAAACAAAACAAAACAAAACCCTACAATCTCATTTTCAAATGTGGACCAACCAAGTCTATTCCCTTCAGGGTTGAATGGGACAGATAGTTGTTTTGCTCTAACTATATTTCTTTAGAATGGAATACATCCATGATTTATGCTGGAATATATAGATGCAGATTTTTAAAACCAAATTAATTAACTTAAAACCTCTTTAGACTGAGGAAAAAAACTAAATGTTTCTAAAATCTCCCTTCATAACAACAGTATGAGGTTGGGGTACATCTTCCAAACTGTTTTCTGTGCCTTATTAGAATTTCAAACTGTTCTCCAACAATGTATAGTTAAAAAAACTAAATGGGAATCAAACTACCCAGACTGTACTACATGTCAACATGCTAACATCCTTGCACTTTCATTTCCTTATTCTTTTTTTCTTTTAAATATATTTTATTGTCTTTTTACAGAGAGGAAGGGAGAGGGAAAGAGAGTTAGAAACATTGATGAGAGAGAAACGTCGATCAGCTGCCTCTTGCACACCTCCTATTGGGGATGTTCCAGCAACCAAGATACATGCTCTTGACTGGGATCGAACCTGGGACCTTTCAGTCCGCAGGCCAACGCTCTATCCACTGAGCCAAACTGGTTAGGGCTCATTTCCTTATTCTTTTAAATGGCCATACTATATTCCATTAAGCTTTTCGTAAAAGCGCTAGAAAATCAATGCCGTTAAAAAGTTATTGTGTAGCCTCAAAAAGTTACCACGACCCAGTAATTCCATGCCTAGGCATCTACCCAAGAGAAATTAATACATATGTCCACACAAAAACGTGCACATGAACACTGATAGCATTCCAAATATCTATCAACTGATGAAGGGATAAAATGTAGTATATCCATATAACGGAATAGCATTCAGTTATAAAAGAAACAAGATACTGACTCATACTATAGTACACACCCTAAAAACATTATACCGCACGAAAGCAGCTAGACACAAAGTTATGTTATATAATTCCTGAAATGTACAAAATAGGCAAACACTGGATTGTACACTTTAAATGTTTTTATTATTGTTCGAGTTTTAGAGAGGAAATGGGAGGGAGGGAAGGAGAGAGGGAGGGCGGGCCATCAATCAGAGCTATACATTGATTGGTTGTGACCATAGGGTACAAAGGACAATGCCCCACTGGCTAGGGCTGAATTATACATTTTAAATTGGTGAACTGTATCATGTGAAAATTGGTGAACTGTATCATGTAAGTAAAGCTGTCATTATACATAGTTTATATTCAATAAATACTTTGGGGATGAATACATTAATAAATATATGTACCAAACAAAAGTCATCAAGCAAATACTTTTTTGTCTTCCCTTGTGCATAGTAAGAGCTCAGGAACTAATTGTTGATATAGATTAGCCAATCACATACACATGAAATGAGAATTTCACAAAGTAAGTGCTCAATCTTTTTTTCAATCAAGTTTTTATTGACAATGAGATTCACATTAAGAAATGCTACCTATACCTGTTTATTTGTGGCACGATTTATCACTAAGACACTTTTCTCAGGTCAGAGTTGAACAGCCTAAACCCACTCACCACATTTCTAACTGCTAAGTAGTAAATATACAGTAGACAGTGCACAGAAATACTATAATACATTCCACAATGCCTGGACTATTAATAAGTTTACTGCAATTTTTAGAGATCTTAATGTTATCTTAGTTAAAATTCACATTCCTTGTAAGTCCTACTGACTATGTCCCCTGTTAACAATAATTTATTAACATAAAAGGAATTATTTGCAGCTGGTATTTTGGACATCCCAAATTCTTGCTCAATTATCTCTTCAGTTTATTCACTCAAAGAATATTTAGATGTTTTATAGGAATTAAGGATACAATATAGAATAAAAATAGACAAAGCGAAGCAAACAAAACCCTGTCTTAATGGAACTTAACAGTCCAGTAAAAAGAAAATAATTTAAGACAATTTTATTTTTAGACTTGTTCCGTTTTTTGTTTTTTGTTTTTTGTTTGTTTTTTTAAATCCACACCCAGGGATACGCCTTTTTATTGATTCTAGAGCCAGAGAATGGGAGACAGAATCATTGATGTAAAAGACAAAATCCATTGGTTTTCTCACACACGTGGCCCAACCAGAACCTAGGCTTGTGTCCTGACCAGGAATTGACATGGAACAACACTCTAATCAGAGAAAACACCAGCCAGAGCATAAACTCATGCCTTATGAGTTAAATGTCATCATCAGCAAGGAATCCCCACATTCCTCAATGTGCAAATGTGAATGTCCAGTAACGTTAGTATCAATTTTCAGTGACAAGCCTTTCTTTTTATACTTTTACCACATAAAGACAAACACAACCTACTTCACAAATTTATTTAGTATCAAAAATTAAAACATTTTACATGCACATAATTGTGAGAGTGTCAGTGGGCTGTTCGAAAATTTAACAGCCCAGAGTCTTCAAGTTATTGAGGCACCAAAAGCTTTTGCTTTAAGAAAAAGCGAGGACAGTCATGCCTTATAGTTAACTGTCATCATCAGCAAGGAATCCCCACATACTGTCCACTGAAAGGTGGCAGGTTCGATTCCCAATCGGATGCATTCGGGGGAGGCAAGTGATGGATGTTTCTCTCACCCTCTAAAATTAATTTTTTAAATTAAATTATTACCTTTGTACATATACCATTGCCTCCTCCCTCCCATACATGCCCTCCCTCCCCAGAGTTTTGTGTCCATTGGTTGTACTTATATGCATGTATACAAGTCCTTCCGTTGATCTCTTATCTACCCCAGATCTCCCTACCCTCCCCGCTGTAATTTGACAGTCTGCTTGTTGCTTTACTGTCTCTTAAAATTAATTTAATTTAAAAAAAACCACGAAAAATAGAAAAAAGAGAAGGCAATCAATAATCCGATTTGTGTAACATGAAAATATCCACCACCACCAAAAGCAGAAGTGCAAGATCACAACTGGCTCAAAAAGATAACTTTTGGAAACAAGGTCTAAAACTCAATTACTCCACCTCTTCAGTCCTTAAGTATGTTTCCTACCAAGATAGGGGGCACGGTGGATAATTAGGGGATGCATTTTGTTTCAGACCAGACTTTTCCTTCTCGATTTGGTAAACTGAAACCAGCTCAGAGTTTTACCGGCCCCAGGCTGAAGCTTTTGGGGAGGAGTTGGTTATCTACAATGCCTTGCTGGAAGATACTCCCCATCCAAATTATAATGAAAGGAATGTTTTATTAAATTACTGGCAAAGTCATAAAACTATGCCATCTAAAACCTTGAAATTGAAAGCACATTCATAAATCCTGTTGACTATCGCTTATCTTACAAATTCTAAGGACTACAAATTCCAAGGGGCTCACAATTTAAGGAACCTGACAGCCTCATTCATGAAAATCTCCCAACTGTATTATAGCATCAAAGAGCCACTGGCTTAGAGGTACACAGAGACTTGGTTTTTTGTAAACTCGGACATCCACAGCCCTCTCAAAAGATAAGCAAAGACACTTCAAGTCTCATTAGGCACAGGCTGCAAAGAGGTCACTTTTTGCATCCAACACACAGGTAAAAATGAACCCAAGGGCTAAGAATATAAACCCTTCCAGGTTGCATGAAACATCAAATGAGTAAACAACTACATAAAAACAATTAAACAACAACAACAACAACAACAAAAAAAGTGCGTGGTCTTGCGTAAAAGGGAAGTCAGCCAGACACTCAGCACATGACTCATCCACCGGCCTGAACACTATCCACTACACCAAAGTGGGATTTCCCATCTTCGTCCAAGGCCAGTTTCGGGGGCGTCTCTGTTAGGTAAAGCTGTGCTATTTCCATGCGCGGGGAATGGGGGGGGTGGTCATTTTATGTCTCCGAATCACAACTCCCATCACATCCCAACTCCAAACCACCAAATAAACGGGACAGTCAGTGAGCAAGGACGCCAAGCGAGCACCGACCCAGCAAAACAAAGCGCCCAGCGAAGGGCTGCCGGGCTGAAAGGAGTTGGGTGAAGAGGGCCAAGCTCGCCCCCCAGGAGGGCAGCGGCAGCCTCCTCCCGTGAGGGAGCAGCCGCGTTCTCCGCAGAGCTCCGAGGACACTCGGGAAGGTGAGGAAATGGGGGCGGGGGCGCGATGCCCCAGCCCAGGCGTAAGGACCAAGGCGCCGGGGTGGGCAGAGCGCGCGCCGGACCCGACCCACGTGAGCGGTCGGGCCGAGGCCAAGGCCGCTCCGAGGACGGCGGCGCCGCGGGCACCTCGCCGGGCCCGGACTTACCCGGGCCGGGCGCGCCGCTGGCCCCGCAGCGGCCGCTTCCTCCTCCTCCTCACTTGACAAAATGGCGGCGACAGGAAGTGCTGAGCGCCTTGGCCCGCCCCCCCTTCCCCCGGCCGCCCGCCCGCCCGGCGCGGCGCACGCGCCCCCCGCAGGAGCCCCCGCCCCGCTGACCGGCCCGACCCCGGGGGCGTCGGCGCCAATGACCGGGCGAGCGAGCGGCCCGACGCCCCGACGCCAACGGCGCGGGCGACCCCGGCGCGAGCGGGCGGCGCGGGGACGCGGGAGGCCCGCAGGCCGGAGCCCGCGTCGCCCCGGCCTTCCTACCCTCGCGCCGATGGCGTCGGGGCTGGCGCACCGGCCCATTACGCAATGCAGGTGACGCGGGCGGCGCTGAGAGCCCTCGCCGGCCGCCCGGAGCCTCCCGCCGCCCCGAAGGGCACTGGTCCTCACCTGAAACGCTAGGCCGCACGCCGCCCCCACCGGCCGCCGCAGCCTCCTCCTGGAGATGTTATGCGGCGCCGGGGCCCGCCCGTCGCGCCCGCCGCTCCGCCGCGCTCACAGGCCCCGCTCGCCGGCGAGCACCGCCGGCAGCCGCCACCGTCGCAGCCACTGCTTCGGCACCTTGGCTGCGGGAGAGCAGAACAAACAGCCCTGCCGCCGCCGCCGCCGCCGCCACCGCCAGCGCACTGACGTCACCGTGCACGCTGTGCGCGCGGCCCGGCGTCGCCGCCGCCCGGCGTGCGCGCCCCCGAGATGGCGCCCGGAGTGTGCGAGCTCGGCAGAGCCCGCGGCCGCGAGGTAAGTGCGCGAGGCGGGCGGGCGGGCGGGGCTGGGGAACCCCGCAGGCCCCGCGAGGGGGACTCTTCCGATGGAGGGCGGGGCCCACAGACTGAGGGCGGGGCCCGGAAGACCGGGTGGAGGCTGGGGAGACGTCGCCGACCGAGAGAGAAGTTCCTCAAACCCCGTGCAGACTGACTGACGGCAGGAACCGCGGGGAGACCGGAGGCTGCGTTCCGGGGAAAGATCTGAAGGCGGAGATAGACGTCCACAATTTAGGAAGGTTCTGACGATCGGCCCGCAAAGAGGAAGGCCGGGGAATGAGAAATCTCCAGGACGGATGGCAAAGGCGAGGAGAGACCCAGGTTGAGGGAGCCCCCTCCCCGGAGGGGGATCTGAAGGGTATAGGAGGATTTTGGGGGTGCTGGGGCGCCAGCACTGCGGTGAGGGAAGGAGTTGAGGCTGTCACAAGGCTGAAGTGGCATCTGTCTTGGCTAGCCACCGGAGGCTAAGGTAGAAGTAAAAACTGGGAGGTGCCCCAAACCAGTTTGGCTCAGTGGATAGAGCGTCGGCCTGCGGACTGAGGGGTCCCGGGTTCGATTCTGGTCAAGGGCATGTGCCTTGGTTGCGGGCGCATCCCCAGTGGGGGGTGTGCAGGAGGCAGCCGGCTTCTCTCACCCATGTTTCTAGCTCTCTATCCCTCTCCCTTCCTCTCTGTAAAAACTCAAAAAAGTACATTTTTTTAAAAACTGGAAGGTGCTGAACTGCGGACCTAGAGCACTCTCCTTCCGGTTCCGCAGCTGACCTCCTTCTTGTCCTTAGGACTCAGCGACAGGTCAGCTCCATTAAGTGACATTAGGTTTGCCCGGCCGGTGTTGTCAGTGGTTGAGTCAGGAGGTCACCAGTGGATTCCTGGTCTGGGCACATGCCCGGGATTCAGAATCCATCCCCAGTAGGGAGCGTGCAGGAGGCAGCCGATCAATGATTCTCATCATTGGCTTTTCTCCCTCTCCTCTCTTCTCTGAAATCAATAAAAATATATTTAAAAAGAAAATTACATTCCTTATTTAGGTAATTTGCAGCTTAAAATGATTATGAGCCGTAACCGTTTCGTCGGCCTGCGGACTGAGGGGTCCCAGGTTCGATTCCGGTCAAGGGCATGTATTTTGGTTGCGGGCACATCCCCAGTAGGGAGTGTGCAGGAGGCGGCTGATACGGTAGCTGTTTTTCTCTCATCTATGTTTCTAACGCTCTATCCCTCTCCTTTCCTCTCTAAAAAAATCAATAAAAAATATTTTTTAAAATGATTCTCTGAAATTTTTCAAAGGGGAAGAAACATAACTTCATTTCCCCTTTGCTCTTATCTTTACTCTTGGCATTTTTATTTTTTTAATTTACTTTTTAAGTATATTTTATTGATTTTCCACAGAGAGGAAGGAAGAGGGATAGAGAGCTAGAAACGTCGATGAGAGAGAGTCATCGACCAGCTGCCTCTTGCACAACCCCCACTGGGGATGTGCCCGCAACCAATGTACATGCCCTTGACCAGAATCGAACCTGGTACCCTTCAGTCCCCAAGCCGATGCTCTATCCACTGAGCCAAAACGGTTTCGGCTACTCTTGGCATTTTTAGTCCCAATCTTTTAAAAATAGCAGACTCGTCCTAGCTGATTTGGCTCAGTGGATAGAGCATCAGCTTGGGGACTGAAGGGTCTCAGGTTCCATTCGGGCGTGTGCCTTGGTTGCAGGCTCAATCCCCAGTAGGGGGTGTGTAGGAAGCAGCCAATCAATGATTCTCATTATTGATGTTTCTTTCTTTTCCTCTCTAAAATCAATAAAAATATAGTTTAAAATAGTAATAATAATATCAGACTCAAGTTATTCTAAAAATATAGGTAATTTAAAAATTTTTTGATGCCCCCTTCTTTCAAAATATATCAATATAATAGGATTGTAGTCAATAGTTTTGTCCCTATCCTGATGTTTGCTCACTCTTCATCAAGGGCAATCATAAATCACTGATGAGTCCTGAACAAAGTAAAGACTTAATTTTACTCTTTATTTTAACAAAGTATGAGATAACAAATTATTAAGAGTAAAAAATAAAGGCAGTAATAGTCATTGGTTGGTTCATTAGTAATCTTCCTTCTAATTCTGAATTATAGAATATTGAAACTGGTGAATATCTTTTGGCTCCTAACTTTGCATGCTGGGCAATTTGCAGAAAATAGTTGGAGATGGAATAAAGAATAGGAAGGTACACAGGACTAAGTGAATATGGAACAATAACTTTTTATTTTTTAAAAGAAACCAGAATGTATCCATTTTTTAAAAATACATTTTTATTGATATCAGAGAAGGGAGGAGAGGAAAGAGAAACATCAATGATCAATGATGAGAGAGAGTCATTGATGGGCTGCCTCCTGCAGATGGAGTGTGCAACTCAGGCACGTGCTCTTGACCAGAATCAAACCCGGACTCTTATGTCCACAGGCCAACACTCTACCCTCTGAGCCAAACTGCCTAGGGCCAGACTGTATCCATTTTAAGCTGCCCTTTCCCACAGTTGCCTTGTGGCATTTTCCACTTAATTTATTGTTACCGACAATAAATGTCTTCGGAAGTAATTTGCAGTTCCCAGTTTGCAAGTTACATAATAAAATTTTTCTTTTGACTCTAGAGTCACAGTTCATTTTAGACAAAACCATAAATATTTAGCTTGATTTACTGGACCCAACTGAAGAGTTTTGCCATTGCTAGAAATCAAATCTAATCTGAAGAGAATATGGAAACTGTAAAGGGAGTTCCAAAGCTGTTTCCAAAAATATTTTAGGACAACGTCTCATTCTTTTTGTCTTCCATAATGTTTACATAGCCCTACTCTTCGCAGATAGCTCAAACTCAGAAAGTTTATTCAGTTGAATCAGTTTAATAGTCTCATTACTTAATGGTTCACATTTAAATATATATATATGTATATATATATTATATTTTGATTTTTTACAGAGAGGAAAGGAGAATAATAGAGAGCTAGAAACATCTATGAGAGAGAAACATTGACCAGCTGCCTCCTGCACACCCCCTACTGGGGATGTGTCCCCAACCAATGTACATGCCCTTGACCAGAATTAAACCTGACACCCTTCAGTCCGCAGACCAACGCTCTATCCACTGAGCCAAACTGGTTTCTGCTAAAAAATATTTTTTATTGATTTCAGAGAGGAAGGGAAAGAAACACTGATGAGAGAGATTTATTGATGGACTGCCTCCTGAATGCCTCCTATTGGTGATGGAGCACAAGCCAGGCATGTGTGCTGACCTGGAATTGAACCATGACCTCCTGGTTTATAGGTCAATGTTCAACCACAGAGCCACACCAGCCAGGATGGTTCACATTTTAATAAGCTCTTTTTTACTTCTCTTGCTATTACTGTGTTTTCTTTTTTAATATTTTTTAATTGATTTTTTTTTTTACAGAGATCGGGATCAGGCCTAAACCAGCAGTTGGACATCCCTCTCACAATTCGGGACCACTGGCTCCTAACCGCTCACCTGCCTGCCTGCCTGATCGCCCCTAACCACTTTACCTGCTGACCTTCTCATCTCCAACTGCCCCCTCTTGCCGGCCTGATCACCCCCAACTGCCCCCTCCCACCCCTGGGCTGATCACCCCCACTGCCCTCCCTTCCTGGCCTGATCACCCCTAACTGCCTCTGCCTTGGCCCCACCACCATAGCTTTGTCCAGAAGGATGTACCAAAGGTCTCCCAATCTAATTAGCATATTACCCTTTTATTAGTATAGATATGTCTACATATAGAAATAGTCCTAATATATAAAAACCCATGGTCCCTTACATCCAAGATAACTGAAGGCTCGACTGATTGGAAGTCAGTTCTGGATTGCCTTGGTGACCCAGCACTGACTGCCACCACCGTGGGTGTGGTGAACCAGCACTGACTGCTGAGGGGGCTGCAGATCAGGCCCAGAGAGAGGCCTCGAGAGAAGCAGGGTCTAATCCGTAGCCTCTGTGGCAGCTGTTGATCAGCCATTGCCTCTCTCTGTCTGGGCCTGGCCAGCAGTTGTGCCTCTCTTTTCTCTTTGGCCTCCGTGAGGGCTGCTGATCAACCCCACCTCTCTAATCAGGCCAGGAGATAGGCCCAGAGACACTGACTGGCATAGAAATCGACCAATCAGAACCAAATCTGGGTGAGTTGTGAGGAGTCAATGGTTGCAAAGGAAGCAGAGCTTTTGGCACTGACTGGCATAGAAACCGTCCAA